ATTTTGGAAGTGAGGTGGGAAATTTGTTTATTGTATGTGTTTGTTTTTCTGTGGTGAGGTGTGGAATTGTTATTTTCTAACCTATTATTTGTTTCGTAATTATTGAGGTGTTACGTATTATGTATTTGATATGAAGTTTAATATACAACAATAGTAAGTGTGTAAAGAATTTTTGGATAATTGAGAATGTCTTCGTACATACAGTTTTATGTAAAATGTCAATACCTGTGACATTCTTTGGGTTATATTGCATATTGTGTTTATGGCTGCAATTTTGGATGTAATAAACCCACCTGTATATGAAGCTGTGGGCTGTCTTTAGTTTAGTTCTTATGTATAAGTTTAGTGCTACGGTAGGAAATGTGGAATTTTCTTTTGTTATATATAATGGATACGTTTCATTGCTTACATTGTCTACATGTATAACTATGTATTGCGTTTTTCAATAAAATAAATAAAAAAAAAACACTATTGTCCTGTTCACCTAACAGCAAATAGGTACCTGGGTGTTAGTCGACTGGTGTGGGTCGCATCCTGGGGGACAAGATTGAGGACCCCAATGGAAATAAGTTAGACAGTCCTCGATGACGCACTGACTTTCTTGGGTTATCCTGGGTGGCTAACCCTCCGGGGTTAAAAATCCGAACGAAATCTTATCTTAATGAAAAGCAGTGACGCCGCGAGTGCACTGAGACAACACAGTAAGTGTCAGGGGCCCAAGATTGTTGAACTGCCCCCAGCATTCATAAGGGGAAATACCAATAGACCTCTGGCTGTCTTTAAGCAGGCACTGGACAAGCACCTAAAGTCGGTACCTGACCAACCCGGCTGTGATACTTACGACGGTTTACGTGCGGCCAACACTAACAGCCTGGTTGAACAGACCCTGGTCCACAATGAAGCCTGGTCTCAGACCGGGCCGCGGGGGCGTTGATCTCCGACATCCTCTCCAGCACCATTATGTTAGTATTGGCTGACTGTTATGCTGCTGTGTTGTTCTCTTATTAATTCATTGTCAGTCTTATACATTTACAATCTTTTCACTTTTTTGTGTTTTTTAAAATGATTTCTGTCTATTAGATGTAAGGTTTAAATAAAAAATAAAAAAAATATTAAATTTCTCGCTAGCGTGAGGAACATTTTATTGCTAAAACGGAAGCTTTTATTTACGTTCTTTGTACAGCTTTATTTTACAATGATAGTGAAGGCCAACAGATGTTATGAAATTAATTATTTGTGTATTAATTTATTTAGTTAGTGGGTTAATTAGGAATAAAGCCTATCAAACTACTCAAGACTAGTTTAGGCTACATGTAACTTGCTCACAGTCAAAATACTTTAATAATTAACATAGAGAGTAAAGTAAACTTCAGTGTAGTATATACATTGTGTATATACAGTCTCAGTGTATATATTTATGTCTGGTTTTGTATTAAAAAAATATAATGTAATTCTCACACTGGCAACTGAGGTTGTTACTGCTGGTGCAGCCAAGAGTCAGCAGCACCACCATTCCAGTGTCCAACACCAGGAGCAACAGTGTGAGTTTATTGTGTGTTAATCCTAATGATCGGCAATCAGCATACCATGTCCACCACCAGGAACCAGTTGGTATGTGCTGCTGTCAGTCAAATACAATAAGTTAACATGAGGTAGTAACTGCAGTGAGCAGATCACAGCTACACCAGTCCAGTGTATACCTAGTCTGGTTTTGCTTGTCAAAAAACCTACAGTCCAGTTCTCACCACAGGCAACTGAGGTTGTTACTGCTGGTGCAGCCAAGAGTCAGCAGCACCACCAGTCCAGTGTCCACCACCAGGACACCAGTGTGGGTGTTGCTGCTGGTGCAGCCAAGAGTCAGCAGCACCACCAGTCCAGTGTCCACCACCAGGAGCACCAGTGTGGGTGTTGCTGCTGGTGCAGCCAAGAGTCAGCAGCACCACCAGTCCAGTGTCCACCACCAGTAACACCAGTGTGGGTGTTGCTGCTGGTGCAGCCAAGAGTCAGCAGCACCACCAGTCCAGTGTCCACCACCAGGAGCACCAGTGTGGGTGTTGCTGCTGGTGCAGCCAAGAGTCAGCAGCACCACCAGGAACACCAGTGTGAGTGTTGCTGCTGGTGCAGCCAAGAGTCAGCAGCACCACCAGTCAGTGTCCACCAGCAGGAGCACCAGTGTGGGTGTTGCTGCTGGTGCAGCCAAGAGTCAGCAGCACCACCAGTCCAGTGTCCACCAGCAGGAGCACCAGTGTGGGTGTTGCTGCTGGTGCAGCCAAGAGTCAGCAGCACCACCAGTCCAGTGTCCACCACCAGTAATACCAGTGTGGGTGTTGCTGCTGGTGAAAGCCAAGAGTCAGCAGCAGCACCACCAGTCCAGTGTCCACCACCAGGAGCACCAGTGTGGGTGTTGCTGCTGGTGCAGCCAAGAGTCAGCAGCACCACCAGTCCAGTGTCCACCACCAGGACACCAGTGTGGGTGTTGCTGCTGGTGCAGCCAAGAGTCAGCAGCACCACCAGTCCAGTGTCCACCACCAGGAGCACCAGTGTGGGTGTTGCTGCTGGTGGTGCCTCAGCCAAGAGTCAGAGCGGCAGCGACGCCAGTGTCCACCACCAGGAGACTGTTGGGGTGTTTGCTGGTGGTGCCTCAGTCAACGCAGCGACGCCAGTGTCCACCAGCAGCGTCAGTGTGGGTGTTGCTACTGGTGGTGCCTCAGCCAAGGCACCACCGCGAGCTTCAGTGTCCACCAGCCTGGGGGTGAATAATGGAGTGCTGCAAATCTCTTATCCAGGTATTAATATTTTTCCATTAATTCTACAGCTATATTAAATACTTGGTAAATTTTTCTAATATCTGCGGCTGGTCACTGAAAACAACTTTAATGTATAGAAAGTTGAGTTCTCTCAATCAGAAAAAAGCTACCTTAAGATTATTTTTCATTTCTGCTATTACTAGTGTAGTCTGCTGTATAGCCCTTGTTGCTTAGCGCTTCATTTTGGTTATAATAGTGTAGGTTGGTCACCCATGACGAGGCCGACTACTGGACTGGCTTTCAAGGTTGACTGATATGAACTTAAATTTAACGTTGAGAAGCTCTTGATTCGGGGAATTTTTCCCTCCGTTGGGATCGACCCTGACTGGCTCTCGTTGTCCAGGTGCTATGACTCCACCCTATGGGTTTAGCGCTTCCAGGATGTTTTTTTTTTCTCTAGGAGAGAACTTAACATTTTGTAGAAATAAATTATTGCACTAGAGAAGTTTGATTTTTAGGTGATGGGTAAAATACTTGTTAGTTATTCCGTAGTTTTAAAACTAAGGGGAAAGACTATTGTGAAGTTATGTAACTTAAACCAGCTGTTACTGTGGGTTAAATTAGCTGCTCAGCTGTTACTGTGGGTTAAATTAGCTGCTCCAGCTGTTACTGTGGGTTAAATTAGCTGCTCCAGCTGTTACTGTGGGTTAAATTAGCTGCTCCAGGTTTAAGAAACATTAGTTGCTACAGTACTTCCCATACACTAATTGTACACATTAAGTCGACGTTCCTCAGGGTGGTCATGACTTAAGATAGAGCACTACCTTGTGTGCATAAGACTGATTTATAACTTGGCTTTCATTATTGCCAAAACTGTTTGGCCTGCACAGGAAGCTTTGATCCATTAAACCCCCCCCCCACACATTGTTACAATTACTACTACCCTCCACAGTTTTTTTACCTTTCACTGTTAATTTAAATCGTGTTGTTTACTGACTAGCAGTTTCCACAAGTTAATTGTCATGACGCTTTTCACTTGTTAAAAAATATTCAAGATTCCATTGTTTAAACTGGTTAATTTTCTATTTTATTCCTGCAAGTTAAATTTATACAGCGCTAAATTGATAAACTAATTATTTCCACTCCCATGCAGTGAAACTGGTTTAATTTTCTAATCTTTAATGCATCAGATAAATTTACTTTCTTAGTTCCAGAAAACTTTTTAAGTGAGACTGGTGGATTTGTCGTGCAAATCTTTTTGTAAAGTGACACGAGCTGTTTATATCAACTTTTCGCCCATCTGCAAGCTTTCATCAAATAGATAGTTGACTTTGTAGGCGGCAGCAGCAGAAATGGAGCGGTAGAAATATCACCCTTTTAGATTAAATTTCATAATCTATGAAAGAAGCAGCTGTATAGCCCTTGTGGCTTAGTGCTTCTTTTTGATTATAATATGAAAGCAGGTTTCAGAATTAAATAAATTTAGAGATGGTCATAAAGGGGGGAGGGGGGGCTCACTTGTAAAGAAAAGCATCAGTGCAGCATGTCTAGTGGCCCATGCTAGGTAGGTCTTTCTAGTCCAGCAGTTCTTAAAACTAGTGATTTTCATATTTCATTAATTAATTTAGATCTTGTGTGGTATTTGGTCTTGTGATTTCTAATCTTATTCCAGTGTGTGGAGCAAACTGGCTGGCGCAGGAATATAACTACCAGTCCGAAGTGGAACCACTCGGGCAGCCAATTGCAGGTGCGTGTCACTGGACAAGTCTCTTCGCCTTACGTCATACTAGTTATTTTCCTTCTTACGCAAAGAACTTACAGGTTTGTGCTTTTCAAACCTTCGTCCTGCTAATTATAATGATGAAAGCTAAGCCCATGGAGTGTTATAAAGCGCCTAGTGCATCGGGAAACTAAATTTAAGGATGGGACGGGCAGGTTCAGCTATAATATGTCTTGAGTGGACCTTCCTCGATGGACATGGTATTTGCTGGAGAAGCATTTGAGCTGTATTAACGTAGACTACAAGAGTATAGTAGTACTGTATATGTACTGTCATGCTATACATGTCTGCAGTTTGTGTATGGAGGGGGTGGAGGGTGCAGAACTGGTAGCCTTCATTAAGCTATACCAGATTATCTTAGCTTAATGTAAGCTAGTCTTTTGCGGGTTTTTGCCCTGAAGACTTTTTCAAACTGTTTTATGAAATAACTTAGTAACAAGCTTCGTCATTGGTCTCTTGTATTGGAGGTTGTGGAGATTAAAACAATGGGAAGCTGGAAAAAAAAGTACACTTGTATATTTTCAGCCTCGGATGTTGAGAAATAAGTTTGGTAATTTTAATTTTAAAAATTTTTACTGTATGGCAAACTGCAAGACCATTTTTAGTTTTAACCATTGACCAATTTGTTAACCTTGTATGAATGTGTATTTGCAGTGTACAGGTGGTGCAGGCAGCCACCAGGTTCTCGACGTTGGAAGACAGGCTCAGTTTGTCCAGGACGAACAGTTACACAACTATCGCCCACTATCCTTGTCAGGGATAAGATATCAGATATTAGTGATATCAGTGGTCACTAACGACCAACCTCGCCAAACAACCCCGTGCCATTCCTCTCCTCTCCCCCCCCCTCCCCGACACTCCTACATCTGCTCATTTCAGTCCTGATTTGAGTTCAGGTATGTCTCCAAAAATTTATTCTACTGTTGGTGAACATGTAAAGATAAATTTATTTGGATTAGTAACGAGGAGATTAATAGGCTACGACAATTAGGTCTAAAATTTTGGTTTGTTGCCACTTAAGTCATGGCAACCTCTTGAGCTGCTAATTCGGGAAATTCAAAATGTATACAAAACATAAAAACCCCAATTGGGGTAATCAGATTGGACATGGGTGAAGTATCGGAGAATAATCTTTAAGCCTGGTTCCACTTTAAGTTACACGCTAAAGAATAAATTTAATTCTCTATTGGGCAGAAATAACTATGCAGATGTAAACAGGAGTAAATGTTATTTTCATGAATTAACTCTGCTTGTAACAACGGAGATTGGTTGACAAAATTACTGGTAGTTTGTGTACCTGTGAAGACCTTTATGAATGTAGACAAATTACTTTATATATTACATCCCGAATCGTTGAAATTTAAGTGACCTGTCTTGCTGACAGGTCAGCAAGTCATGCACGAGCCACGTGGTCTCACGCGAAGCATAACTTGGACGGGTTGGCTGCACAAGTGGTACTATCATAATTGAAAGAATATTTAAGGAAAATCTATCTGGTACCCTTGATGTCCACTCTGGCAGTCCGTGTTGACACGGGTAACTCGGGACTCCAAGGTCCGTCTCACATGTGACCCTTAGTGAAAACTTGAGATTGTCTTGCAGGAAACTCTTAACTGCGTGCACAAATTAGGAAGGACTCTTACTTGGTTGTAGAGTATGCTAGCTAGAAATCCCCTGATTCTACCAAGCAGTCTAGACTTCTATGACCTTTGGAAATTTCTATGCATAGTGCCCCTTTGCAAGCTGCAAATGCTGCAGATGCAGATGCCTCGAGTTGATTCTCCTAGGCCAGTAGTTCCCAAACTTTTTCAGCTTGTTACCCAATTTAACATGCCACATAAAGCATGTTACCCCTTTCACAAAATGTTGTTATTGATATATATGGCTAAATTAAAACACTAGAGATATTTTCTTTTATTTATTGTATTTGAACATTGTGCATCTCTAATGACTATTACCAAAGAGGTCAAGAACATCAGTGGGATGGATGGAGTTGCATACTTGAAGCTAGTTTAGGAATTCTTGGCTTCGTGGTTGAAAGTGCCAGCCTGGCATCGTTTGCAACATTCAAGCGAGTCCTCTTTTGTTTTCATACCCAGCACAGTTGAGAAGCCCTTCTCGCACAGATACGTTGAGAATGATACCAACAACTTCAAGGCTCTTGGACAGAGTTGGCGAGTCAGGTAGTCGTGAAATCCAAAAGGAATCTGCATTTTGGTTTTGGAATTCGATTTTCAAGGCTTCACAAAGCCATGGCGAAGAAAGGCGTCGGTGTACGTGCGCTTTTTGGACATTTTCTTGTTCAATCTGCAGAAAAAGAATATCCATGCATACACTGCAAAATGCAGGGTACATAATTTCTCGCATGGCAGCTAACACAAGTTCTGATGCAAGCACACATGCATACATTCAAAATTGTCAGGCTGCAAGTATCATGCTTGTCAGCACTAGAGCACCGTGTAGCGCGAGACTACAGTTAACGTATACAGCCTCGCATACTCTGCTAATCCTACCAAAACCATTGAAGACGTAAGAACCACACATACATTATATATAAAATTAATAATAGCTACAAATTCACAGTAACAGTGGGTAAATACTAACTATATACTGCACAGGGGAGTACACATACATACCAGCTTATGTCTACCTCAGCTGATGCTCACAGATAAACTGACAGTATGAAGTAGAGGCAGCCTCAGGAAGTGAGTGATGTGTACTGGACAGGTTGATCTGGGCTACTGAGTGACTTTTGTCCTGAAGCATACTTGTCAAAATACTTTTTGGTTTCCACACACTTAGCTATATATTTCTTCTTTTCTAATACTGTATATTAGTTTTTGATGTTTATTGTTATTTGGTTTAACTTTATTACTTATAATAGGTTTACTTTACAACTTTATATACTAAGACAAAGTTAACAATAATCCTCATACCGGGTACCGCATTGTTTTCTTGATTTTCAGAATTCATAACTTTTGTCACCCCTCCATTACCCCCCAAAACTGGTTAAATTACCCCCAGGGGGTAATTTACCCCCAGTTTGGGAACCACTGTCCTAGGCTTACAAATGGCTCTTGCAACAAATTTCAAATTACTGCTGCTGAGGTGAGAATGTACAAAATGTAGTTAACTCGCTTGGTAAGGAGCTCGATGTTCCCTGACCCTCTGGACACCACATATTGACTGGCTTCACTCCTAATGTCCGGTTGCACTCTCCCATAGGTTACTATGTACTTCTCCCAATGTCGGCAGACTGTTGCTAGGAATTGTAGATTTCGCCTCGCTGCAGGTGTGCCTGATAGGGATGAGTATCCTATACTTGGGGAAACCGCTTAAGGTTGTATTGTTCCCCAGCCAAGTGTATTAACGCTGGTTTTCTGGCTATGCACTCCTCACTCCTGCTCTGGAATCTGAGCTTCAACTGACCTAGCTGGTGTCTTCTGACTTCGAATTTGAAATGATAGCTAATACATTAGACGTATTCCTACCTATTTTAGGTCCTAAAACTGTTAATTCCTCTGGTTATTTTTTACTTTGTGTAACTACGTAAATCTTCCTAGGACGAATATTATGTAAAAATGTTAAGTGGGGTATATAAAGGGCCAATAATTTTTTTCCCTTTGGTTTCAAATGGTTTCGTTGGACAATAAAGCAGACTGTAAACGGATGGGGTTGTAGGCGCCCTTATAAACGCAAACATTAAATATAAATCAGGAACGTGCACGGTAAGCTGTCCAATATACAAAAACAGTTAGAAACAGAAATACAAATAGCTAGAGCTTCATTTAAGGAGGTTAATAGAATATTCAAGGGGTTGCTAGTAGAATTGCAGTAAATCAACCATTCAAATCATTATGAAGCTGTGTGTAGTCTGTGGTCAGTCAAACAAACAGGCTTCCACATGGGTAAATTGTCATTTTTGTGGAAATTGGTGTCACGCCCCTTGTGCAGATATCCAAGAACTAGCTACAAGCAGTATAAAAACAGGGAAGTGTTTTTGGGTATGCCCAAATGAGAAATCTGTGGACTAAAATCACAAGGGTATTAAGAGGACAACATCAAAGCTGCTTTCATAGAAAACCTGGAAGCTTTCTACAACAGATGGGAACATAAAAAGTCTGGGCTGAATGGTACTGCCCTTGATACTGGCCATGTAGTCAGAACCTGTAAGGCTGGAGATGAAGTCCTGGTAGTCAGTAAATGTGGGGCTGATAGTGCTGTCCTGGGAGACAGTAATGGTGAAGCTGGAGGTGCTGTCCTGGGAGACAGTAATGGTGAAGCTGGAGATTTTGTCCAGGTAGTCGGGAATTATACGCAGGAAGGAATACATATAAATGACCTCATAGGGGACAGGAGCGATAGTAGGGAAACAAGTGTAGTCAAAGATAAAACCAATATTGCAAACTAGAAATACCGCAGGAAATAGCAAACAAGAGGACTCCACTAGCAATAGTGAGGATATATTACCAAAAACAACTGGTGGGAGCTCCATTGTTGGTGCTAGGGAGGATAGAAGTAAGACAGGGAAACATGCACCAACAGGGAATAGTCACAAACCCAAGGCAAACGGAAACCAAGCCTGTGCACATACTATGCACTTGGTATCTACTGGCATGGGAAATCTGGAAAAACAGATGGGACGTGCAACTATGACCACCCTAGAAAATGCCATGCCCATATGACAACAGGAAAATGCAAACTCCCTTCCTGTAAGCTTTTTCACCCTGAACTGTGTACCTCTTCAGTACAGGAAAGACTGCTATAACTTAAATTGCCAGGCATACCATCTAAAGGGGACAAAAAGATACAAAACATCCAGGCCATGGGAAAACCTGGGTAGCCACAGCCACTCAAGAGGGAGAGGTTTTTTAGTGCCAGGAAGGAAAAAAAACTGACAGGAAATGGCAGAAATCGTACACCAAATCCAGTCATTCCTGGAGTGGAACCACAGTCGATGGCCTCCACTCCAAACCAACAGATACTAATGCCAGACCCCCCCCCCCCAGTACCAACAATACCACCAGTCCGATAACATTCTTTGCAAATATACAGGGTCTAAAGCCAGCAACAAACAAAATACCTTTCATCCATGGACTGCTTGCAGAGGCAAAGGCAATGTTCGCGGCTTTCACCGAGACCCACATAAAGGATCACTTGGACAACGAAATATGGATCCCAGGTTACAACCTATACAGATGTGACAGTGAACAGGCAAAAGGGGAGGGGGGTTGGCCTGTACATTGCAGTCACTTGTTTGCACAGAACTGCTTAATGCCTCAAATGTATTGGAAGTTTTAGCAGTAAAGGTCGAGAATCAAAACCTAGTCATTGTGGTAGTCTACAAGCCTCCGGATGCAACATCCCAGCAATTCCAGGAACAGCTGTTAAAAATTGACCACTGTCTGGAAAATCTTCCAGCTCCTGCACCCAATATCTTGCTCCTGGGGGATTTCAACTTAAGGCACCTAAAATGGAGGAATATAGGAAATATTGTTGCAGTAACACAAGGAGGCAGCTCTGATGAAAACTCACTCACACGAGCTTTTAAATCTCTGCCCAAAATTCAATTTAAACCAGCAAATAATAGCCTACTAGACTGGAGAATACGCTAGACCTCATCTTCACTAACAATGATGATCTGATAAGAAGTGTCACCATATCAAAAACAATATACTCAGATCACAACATAATTGAGGTTCAGACATGTATGCGTGGAGCCCCAGACCGACATAATGAGACTAGTCACGAGGGAGCATTCACCAAATTCAACTTCAAAAACAGTGGGACCAAGTAAACCAAGTCCTAACCGATATAAGCTGGGAAGATATACTAAGCAACACAGACCCCAACTTATGCCTAGAACAGATTAACTCGGTGGCACTCGATGTATGCACAAGGCTTATTCCTCTAAGAAAAAGGAGTAGAAGATGTAAAATAGAAAGACAGGTGCTCCCTTTACAGGCGACGGAAAAGAATAACAGCGGCTAAAAGAGGTCAATATATCTGAAATGCATAGGGAGACACTGGTCAGAGAAATAGCAAGCATCGAACTTAAGCTAAAAGAATCCTTTAGGAGTCAGGAATCGCGGGAAGAACTAAAAGCCATAAATGAAATCGAAAGAAACCCAAAGTATTTCTTCTATGCCAAATCAAAATCGAGAATGTCCAGTATTGGGCCCCTACTTAAACAAGATGGGTCCTACACAGATGACAGCAAGGAAGCGAGTGAGCTACTAAAGTCCCAATATGACTGTTTTTAGCAAGCCACTAACCAGACTTCGAGTCGAAGATCAAAATGAATTTTTTATGAGAGCCACAAAATTTGATTAACACAAGCCTATCCGATGTTATCCTGACGCCAAGTGACTTCGAACAGGCGATAAATGACATGCCCATGCACTCTGCCCCAGGGCCAGACTCGTGGAACTCTGTTCATCAATAACTGCAAGAAGCCCCTATCACGAGCATTTTCCATCCTATGGAGAGGGAGCATGGGCACGGGGGTCGTCCCACAGTTACTAAAAACAGACATAGCCCCACTCCACAAAGGGGGCAGTAAAGCAACAGCAAAGAACTACAGACCAATAGCACTAACATCCCATATCATAAAAATCTTTGAAAGGGTCCCCCTCATGGAAGGTTCCTTGATGTTGGTGAGGGGCTCTTGATTTAAGGAATTGTATCTGTGCTCCAGTTCCCCGAATTAAGCCTGAATGCCTTCCACATCCCCCCTCCCCTGGGCGCTGTATAATCCTACGGGTTTAGCGCTTCCCCCTTGATTATAATAATAATAATAATCAATTTGAAAGGGTCCAAAGAAGCAAGATTACTCCTGATTAGAAACCCTCAGTTACAAAACCCGGCAAATGGTTAGAACAGTCGCTCCCTGGCTCAACTATTGGATCACTACGACATAGCGTCCCTAATGATAGAATACAAAGAATCAATGAATATGTAAAGACTTGCAAAAGCCATT